TCCAGGAACTAGTTTCTCCTCATAACATGTTTAAAGGACATGAGATAAAGTCTTGCCACATCTTTTAGACTCTTTCAAAGTAGATTCACTGGAGAGATGGCTGTTGTTAATATTTCAGAATAATTTCTCTTCCCCTCTTTTGCCTACTGGAAGTAGGAGGGTGTTTTTATCCAGTTTCACGGTGAGGCCCTGGTGTGACTCCTGAAGACAAAATATATTAATGTAATGAATGCATGGGGGCCTCAACTATGGGCCACCAGGAACTTTAACATCTAAATATAGTCTGCCTTTGGTAGTTGTTATGTTCCATAGATTCAGTTCCAATTCATACAACTCTGTACATGGCTTCCGAGACTGTAAATCTTTATGGGAACAGAAAGCCTCATCTTTCTCCCATGGAACAGCTGGTAGTTTTGAACGGCTCACCTTAAGTTTCAAATTTCAATTTGTAACCACTACGCTACCAGAGTTTCTTTAGTAATTAGTAAATTATGCCTTAAGTATTCTTGCCTGATGTTGGATTCAGCCGTAGTGATTTCTCCTCTTGATCGTTGTTGTTAAGTGCTGTTGAATTTGTTCTGACTCTTAAAGACCCTGCCTAGGGTTTCCAGGAAGTTTCTGGTAGGTTTGATCATCCAACCTTGTGGTTACTATCCTTTGCTTATCCTAGTGAAGTCCTAATAAATGGTTATTTTCTAGACCTGCCTTTTGTCTCTCTAAGGTAGTAGTTTGCTCATCCAGGCTTCAATTATCTGATGGGTCTAATAAGAATTTCTGACATTTATTTTTTCCACTTTTTTCTTGTGAGGACAGCAATGATGAAATGATGACATCCAAGCTCTTTGCATGCCTGTTTGGAAACTCTATATCATAGGTATTCTTTATGAATGTCATTAGGCAATATATTCGACTCCATTTACCTAGTATATATTGGACTCCAATTACCTAGCACCTTTTAACAATTTTTACTTTCCATTTGTTGTAGGAAGACAATGATATAACTACAAAGTACTGAACAACAACAAAAAAACATGTTCTTAAAGTGATATTCACAGATCCTTGGGTGACATGGCCAGGGACTCAGCATTTGGTATAATGATCGGCCTTTGATGCCTTACTCAATTCTCTAAACCCTATTATTCTCATCTGCAAAATGGGAATAATGATAATAAATAGCGAATAGGATGTTGGGATGAGCAGGAGAAAGAATCTATATACTTAGCCCATAGCATCAAGCCTGGGGCATAGAAAGCATTATAATTCTTCATTAATGTCTTGAGAATGATGATGCATATACTTTTCCCCTTGACTAGCAAGGTATGCTGTGCTCTGTTTGTCATCCTTAATATCTCTGATGCAGATTTAATTTGGAAAATGCTATCTGTTGGCCGTACATTTGCCTGACAGATTGAGCCATGACTTAGTCAAAGGCTAGCATTAGAATATGTTTTCCTCTTCTACTGACTTTGTTATTATTTTTTGACTGACAGAAAGACCATCCATTTTCTTAAAAGAAAGAAAAATCATCACTAGTATTTTTATTTCCAGACATGCCAAAAATGTCCTGCAAGTTCTGACCTTTTCATTTAATTTCATTTAGGGTTTGATGCCTACTTTACATCCCGCACACTTGAAAACAACAGAAGAAATGTATGGTTTGCTGAATATTGGGAAGAAAATTTCAATTGCAAGTTGACAATTAGTGGGTCAAAAAAAGAAGACACAGATCGCAAATGCACAGGTAATTTCATTCTCTTTGTCATTCTGCTACTCTACGTGGCCAGCATTGAAATGTCTGCAGAGGTGACAGAAGGAAGCTTGACTGGAGACAAATTGAAAAAGTAAATTGAATTTTACTAGATTGCTTAGAAAAATGGAACAGGAGCATAAGTCTCTTGCAGGACAAGAGAAATACAGACAAGAATGTATTCTTTTCTGCCTGTCCATCTAGTGGTAATTGACATTTTCATTGATTCTTTGACTACAGAGGGGTCATGTTACTATGAATATCCACACTGATAAATATTAGTTTATATTCCAGCCAGGAGTATGAAGTCATTTTTACATAGACAAAAGTCTCTAAGAAATCCTATGCTAGCATCATTTTCACTGTTACCATGGAAAGAATAATTGATTAATGAAACCGAGCGCTTAAGTTTAGAATAATGAGAATTCCAAATGATTTTCACAAGGACTAAGCTAATAAGTCACTTACTGTTTAAAATGTGCTTAGAAATATTCATTAAGCTTCCTATGTAACCCTGCATGGATATCCCAACTAGAACATATTTGTATGGGTGATATATGCATATATACATTTACATATATGAAGTAGTCAGAAGGAAAACTACACATCCATTCATCAATTCACAAACATTTACTGAGAATGTCCTTTCTGATAAGCACTGTGTTAGGCACTGGTGATCTGATGGTGACTAGACCAGTTAAGGACACTTCTTTCATTCTGCTTAGATTCTATTAAGGGAAACAAGCATTTTGGTAAGTAATGGAGGGTGTTACTAATTTCAGCCATTCAGGGACTCATACCACACTCTTTAAAATGTTAAAAACATCTGAATTTCCTTGGTACCCAGTTTCAGGATCTGTCAACTTTTATATCTAGACATTTTCTTGCTATCTTTGCTAGTAAGCTTATTTTTATGTATTTATTACAAACTTCATTGACTGTGATCTGTTCTGCTCATAAGGTCATCCTACAATGTCACATAAAGTTGAATAAATATATTTATTTGGTACATATTTATTTTATTGTGATTTATGTGAAAGTTTACAAAGTAAATTTGTTTTCAGCACACCATACGTATTTCTTTTGTGACATTAATTGTAATCTCCACAATATAAAAGTCCTCTTTCCCCTTTTTCCCTGTGATTACCATTTCCCTTCATCCTTCTCTCCTGTTCTGTTCTGGCTTCTGAGCTTTATCCTGGGAAAATGGCTACCCTTTTGGTCTCTTATGGTTCATGGCTGCAATGAGTGTGTGCTTCTATAGTGATATTGTTCACTTCCTAGGTCTTTCTGTTGTTTTTGCTGAAAGTTGAACTGAACTTGAAGAGCCATAGTCTTGGGGGTTCAACCCGTCTCTCTCAGAACAGTGAGCCTGTTTTTTTTTGTTTTATTTTTAAGTTTTTATTGTGAGATTTGCATGGGAGAACATCAGCGTTACACTCATCCTATCGTATTTCATTTCATTGCAATGATTACAATCCCCTCCATGTATCATCATATAACCCCAAAGGGTACACCACACAGGCCAGACCCCCTCACCCCTGGCCACCAGCACACAGCCCCTCTCCTGTCCTGAGTCCAGTGTCCCCAGCCAATCCATCATCCTTTCTATCTCCATCCCTGGCATCACTGCCTCTCTGGGTAGGGTCCCACTCTCTGCTCCTCTCACTTGATGGTCCCAGGGACCTCCACTCCTGGGCTGCAAAATCTATCACTCTCCTCCTTTTGTCAAAAAACATCTTCATCTATATTTCCTGCCTCACAGTCAGTCCTGATGGCAATTATTCACTGTTGTACCACGAGAATCTTATCCCCATTTCCTTTCACCAACCTGGTCCCAACCCATTGGAAATCACTCAGTGATGATTCCACCTTCCCCCACCCAGTCTGGAACTAAGCTCCCAATTGAAAGCTTGTACGCCAGTCACTTCTTGCCTTTGTAGCCCCACTATTTTGGGGAGCCAATGTCTATGTTGCCCATCCCTGTCAGCCCTGCATACCGAGGGGGTGGGAGTGATCCTTGCTGTTAAGATTTGGTCCCTTTTTTGAGCTACTACATCCATAAGTATAGGTAAAGTTCATCAAATTGTAGCAAGTTACTCTTTTTTTTTAAAATTTTCACCTCTTCTTTCTTCTTCTAGTCTAGTTCTGATCATCCAGCAAACAAAGCCGGGTCAAGTGGGTGCTATCTGCAAGTATGGGTGTTCTTGTGCATCTCCCCTCACTTCATATCAGCTAGACACTCCACCCTCCACTGTAGTCCTCTGTGGCCATGTCATTGCCTCTTGGCCCAGGACTCCCCGGGTCTTGCCATAGTGCTGGCCATCCAAGACTCCACTCGGATTAATGGGCATCTATCGAATATGGTCGAACTCAGCTCACAGCTTCATTGCTGTTTTTTTCCCCTTCTTCCCTTATCGGTAACCAAAATGGTCACCAACCAGACCACAGGCTTGCTCATGTATTCCCCTTGAGTCTCAGTCTTGGAAGGGGGTTTGCTCTGAGGTGTCCCAACCTCTTGCCTTGATGGCTCTCAGGCAAACAGCTTACTTGTTCTTGTACTAATCAATCAGACTGCCATTCTGGTTTCGGATTTTTCCTGCCAGTCTGTCTTTCACGAAGTATCTTCTGTTCTTCTAGCTGCTCCAGGCTGGTCTACTCGTCCTTTACAGTGAAAATTTCCTACCTCAGTCGGTTCTGGATGGGGTTCTGGATTCCACATATGGTCTTTGCAGTGTAAAGGCACCACAGGAAGCCTCTTTCACTGGGAAACTTCTAGCCCCCTTTAAGGTATTCCAATCAGTTATAGGCTGAAGACGGACTTACAAGCTTTCTGTAGTGATGATTCTGGCTATTCATTTTTCCTCGCTTCAAGTTTCTATTTTATAGTGGTCGGCAAGGGAAACTAAGATTCAAAAGATAGCCAAGCATCTTAACACTATTCCCCTTCAAACCGTGCATCAATCTCTGTATCCCAGAGCCCTGTTGCTCCAAGGTTGTGCGTACATCATCATTTACATCTGTCTCACTTAGCCCATGGGAACCTGTCTAACTGTTCTCCCATCAGCCTTGTTTTTCCATTCCCCTCCCCCTTCTTGTGTATTGTGACCCCACCCCCCATGCCCTGCACCCAAGCTATCCTGTGTCTATTCCTTACCCTGTGCTCTATCTTCCCCTCCCTCCCTCCCCTCCTCTCATCCCATACATCCTGGTGATCAGCAAATATATATATAATTTTTTCCACCCTTTTAGTGTGGGTTCTTTTTCTTACTCTTTTACAATAATGGTCCTATGCAGTACTTCTTCTTTTGTGACTAATTTCAATCAGCATGATGTGCTCAAGGTTCATCCATGTTACAAGGTGGCTTGAAGCTTCCTTATTGTTCTTCAAGGTAGCATAGTAATCCATTGTGTATATGTACCAAAGTTTGTTTATCCACTCTTCAGTTGATGGGTACTTAGGCTGTCTCCATCTTTTTTCTCTTGTAAATAGTACTGCTAAGAACATTGGTGTGCATATTTCTACTCATATTATAGCTTGTATTTCTTGTGGATAAATACCAAGTAGAGGGATTCTGGATCATAAGGTATTTCTATTTCCAACCTTCTGAGGAAATGCCATATTTCTTTCCAAAGAGGCTGGATAATTTTGCAATCCCACCAGCAATGCAGGAGTGTACCAGTCTCTCCACATCCCTGCCAACATTTGTTGTCCTCTACTTTTTTGATCTTTGCTGTTATTGTTGGTGTGAGATGATATCTCGTTGTTGTTTTGATTTGCATCTCTCTAATGACTACCAGCTGTTGCGCGGGAGAAAGATGAGACGTTCTGCTCCCGTAAAGATATACAGCCTCGGAAACCCTGTAAAGGGTCGCTATGAGTCAGAACCAACTCCACGGCACTTAACAACAACAACAACAAATGGCTCATGATCGTGAACATTTTTTCATATGTTTATTGGCTGCCTGGATCTCCTCCTTGGTGAAGTATCTGTTCATGTCCTGTGCCCATTTTTTAATTGGGTTATTTGTCTTTTTCTTGTGGAGGTCTTGTAGTTTCCTATATATTTTAGAACTCAGTCCCTTGTCTGATGTGTCATTGCAAAAGATTTTTTCCCATTTAGTGGGTTCCCTTTTGACTCTTTTGGTGAAGTCTTTTGATGCACATACATTTTTAATTTTTAGTATGTCCCTCTCATCTTTTTTTGTCTACTTTTGTTTGTATACTTTTCAAAATGTTTGGTAGACTGTGTATTTCCTCACATTTGTCCCTATTTTTGCACTGATGACTTTCATAATTTTGGGATTCACATTTAGTTCTTTAATCCATGCTGTGTTGGATTTTGTATAGAGTGTGAGCTAAAGGTCTTGTTTCAGTCTTTTGCATGTCGCTTTTCAGTTCTGCCAGCACCATCTGTTAAAGAGACTATCTCCTCCCCATGTAACATACCTAGGCACTTTGTTGAAAATCAGTTGGCTGTTTGTGGATGGATTAATTTCTGGATTCTCAATTCTGTTTCACTGAGTAATGTATCTTTCATTGTACCAGTTCAGCCTGGTCTATTTTATGATTTTGAGTTTTAGTCCACATTTAGCGCCTACTTTATGCAGGACCTCTTAGTGTGATGCTCTTCAACAGCTGATCAGCATGGTAGCTGGGCATCATCTGGCTCTTCTCTCAGGGTCATGGAGATGGGGTTTCACGTGACTTATTAGTTCTAAAGACTAGTAGTTTACTTGCATCTTTGAATTTCTTCACTCTTATTTTCTCTGGACATGAAGAGATCAATAGATACCTGTTAGAGGACAGCTCACAAACATTTGAGAAATCAGTCACTACTCACCAAAAATGAATATAGAACATTATCTGTGAAGTATATTATGACAATTAACCTGCTGTTGCCTGAGCACCCACGTCCAGTAACTCATCCCCTCAAGGATTTTGTATGTGACTAAGAAGTTTTCATAACTTTAACTCATGTGTTATTGTCGTT